CAGAGGGGTGAAAATGGGCGAGAAAAGGAGGAAGGGTGTGGGCAGGAAACTCTTTTCTCATGCCTTTTGCAACCCGGATGTTTTTCTCTATCCGGATTCCATTTCACCTTTTTATGGCGCAAGATGCTGACAGACGCAAGATGCCGGCCTCGGTCCCCAACAATGGGGAATCTATCCTGCTCCACGAATCTTTCCTACACCACACTGTTTACTCCGTGAACACCTTCTGGGAAGGCAGGCTCCTTCGCCTCGTTTCCAAGTTTCTGCACCACTGTTATTACTTTATATGATTCAATCAAAGCCCCCATTCCTACGGAATTCGAAGTGTATATATGTGAATTTCAGAACTGACAACTTGACAAAGTTTCTATGAAAGATTATGTGTTCTTCCGTTGGCTCAGGTACCAATTTTATTCTTTCAGTAAGAGTCTAGTTTACAGCCCTTTCCCCCACTTTCTTCTTCCAAAGAAAACAGGAAGTCCCTTTCTACCTGCGGCGTCAACGGATCCGCTACACGGACACGCGCCAGCCCCGCCTCCGTCGCCGGTTACCATGGGAACGGAGAATTGACGTCACTTAGGGCTTCCGTGCCCGACTCTCGGGGCCGCGAGCGGCCAGGCCACGTCTGGGCATGCGCATCCCGGCTCCGTTCCTTCCCCGCCCTTAATCTCGTTCGGTAAAGCATTTCCGTCGCGACTTCTCGCTCAGCCGCGACGAAACTGCTCCCGGGAGAGGGAGGTAAAAGACTCGGAGAGGCGACAGCCAATCAGGCCACAGGACGACGCCACCGATCCTGACTGACAGAACCGGCCCTGACCAATGGGAGAGCGCTTGGCCCCTCGCGTCACAGAGTTTGCCCCACCCTATCCCCTCCTTTCTGGACTCCGATCTCAGTTCGCGCAGTAACAAATGAAGCGCGCGCTGCGACACCTCCCGGCTCCCCAGACTCCGCCGCCATTTCCTCGCCCGGCCTAACGGTCCGGCCAATCCCAGCGCGCCTCGACGAGGACCGAGGCTCCGCCAATCGGCGGCCGTCGCCGTCGACCCCGCGCCTCGGCCCGGCCC